ATTCATATAGCTTCCATGATTGCGGATCCGCTTAATTACTAAAGGGTTTCCACTTAAGTTTTATAAGGAGCATGTTGCTCGTTTGAGAGTGGAACCATATTTTCATACCTTGGTTTAGTGGGAGCTAATTAGTAATGTTCAAATACTATTAAAGTTACTTTATTTTATACCGCGGTATTCAGTGTGCACTATTCAATATTCATTTTTAATTCAGTGTTCAGTTGTTCTGAATTAAAGTTAAGTGGATCAGTTGGTAATAGGCATGTTAAAATCACATTACATGAAATTTCTATGTTGTGCATCCGCACATGATCGAATCTTAGGTTATATTAGTGTTGTGACCACTGATCGGTCCCATTGTGATAAATGCAGTGATGGCCGTTTTGATCCGCACTGATTTGACTTATAGATAAGATTGGTAATATACATTAAAGAATCTGATAGCAAAATTTCATGAGCTCATAAGGTTATTTAGTGTACATTTACCAAAGTGGGAGATTATTGGATTAAAAATCTAATTGTGGGTTAAATGTACCTATTTGGACTATCAGTCAAATTAAGCCTATATTAAGTGATTTATTAATTTATTGGGCTTAAATGTATTTAGTAAGTGCGGGTCTCCTATGTGCACAAACCCGGTAACTTATTAACTGGGTGATGAGACCAACTAATAATAAAGAGATATAAATAGGGTTGTGATCCCACGTCTAGATGCAACATCCATTACTTTTCATATCTCATCGTGGTAGTAACGGCAGAAACCCTAGCGGTTTTCTCAAGAGGGGTTGCGGCATAGGCTTGAAGAACACAAAATCCTCCGTCAATTTACATATCCGAATCCGACAACGCTAATGGAATCAGGTTAGATCTATTAGCTTTATTTTTTTATCTCAATTATTACAACACGATAGATCATGGGTTTATGGTGCAATTCCTGATAAGTTCCAATGGGTGACGGAATGAGTTGTTGATTCTTTCTCGCCACTTTTCAGTAACATCGATTGACAAAATTTGAATATTTTGTAGAGACCACAAAAAGAAGATAGGAGTCTTTTGATTGAAACTTAAGGGTTTTGAAAATTGTGGGTGGTGATGTCCTTCTTCACACACATGGTATAAAATAAATATAGGTATTTCCGACGAACAATTAAGGTAGAGCGGGTTTTTATATAAGTATATAGAAGAATGTTGAAAGTATTAAAATATATTTTAATAGTATATAATAAGTATACTATGTAAATTAATAGCATAATATAAAATAGGGACTGATAATCAATCAAACATGTAAAGCAGAGAGTGCAGATTAATCTTTTTAAAACAAAGACTGAATTGAAACTTAATAATACTGACAGGGAGTGCAGAACAAGTCTCCCTAATTTTAATTAGTAATAATTTATATGCAAATGTTATTACATAATGCAAAACCCCATTCTAAATATATCAGTGATATATATATATATTAATTGGATCATATGAAAACATGTGGTTGATTTTTTGGTGTGAATTGAGTATATATGTTCCTAATAATGTGTTTTTAGGTTGTTTACTAGACATTGTAGAGTTGGCAAATTTTGAGCATATTTAAGAGGAAATGAGCAGAACATATGAAGGCCTTAGGCCTGATCAGGCAGCACAATATGACAACTAAAGAAATTTACAAAAAAAAAAAGTCCTCCGGAATAAATTAACAATATAAAGATTATTTAGTATATAATTGTAGAGGGGATCTTGACTTTAGAAATTAAGAAGAGATATGGTGGACAATTGAAGAGGATGAGAGAAACGGGTTACCACATTCTTCACCACGACATCACTTCTGGAGAAAGCAAAAAAAGAGAGCACGACAGAGCAAAGAATTCAGAGAAGCAATGCAGACAGAACTTCCGGGCATTTTTTTTCATTCTTAGAATTGGTTTGTTGTCGATTCTTTGAATTGAATGCTTGATGAACTCTTTGATTTGTTTTATGTTTTCAATTTTTATGAATTGAGAGTAATTTCATTTCTAGCGTAGATGTGAATTGATGTTTGACATTTTATAGTTGTGGACAAAAAATTGTGTTATTTTTAACAAACACAAAATTTGTACAAATTATATTTGATTTGAATTTAAAGCGGGTCCTATTCTCTAAATGAGTCATTTGATTCTTCTTCCGGGTCGATTTGTTTTCCAACTTAGTTTTCGATGGCTTCTTTGATCCGAAGGGGTTTGGTCTTCAGTTTGACTTTGCCGGCTTTTTGAGGGTTTTGATCTCCGTACGGGCGATTTGATCGTCAGCTTTGGATTTGATGTCTTTTTTTAGACGATCCGCAACTTTGATCTTTGATTTGACTTTGCCGCTTTTTGGAGGACTTTGGTCTCCGCGTTGGCAATTTGATCATCGTCTTTGGATTTGTTGTCTTCTTTGGACGATCCGCAACTTTGACATATGTTTTGGCTTTGCCGCTTTTGGAGGACTTTGGTCTCCGTGCGGGCGATTTGATCGTCGGCTTTGGATTTGATGTCTTTCTTAGACGTTCTGAGGCTTTGATCTTTGATTTGGCTTTGCCGTTTTTGGAGGACTTTGGTCTCCGCGTGGGTGATTCGATCGTCATCTTTGGATTTGATGTCTTCTTTAGACGATCCGCAACTTTGATTTTTAGTTTGCCTTTTCCGTCTTTTGGAGAGCTTCGGTCTCCGTGTGGGCGATTTGATCCTCAGCTTTGGATTTGATGTCTTTTTGGATGATCCGCAGCTTTGATCTTTGATTTGTCTTTGCCGCTTTTGGAGGGCTTTGGTCTCCGTGCAGGTGATTTGATCATAAGCTTTGGATTTGATGTCTTCTTTAAACGATCCGTAGCTTTGATCTTTGAGAAGGTGGATTTGGTGCTCCATAACGCTTTTGGCGGCGTGTCCCTTTGACTTTTGGATCGAAAAGGGCCGAGTTTTCGCCTTTTATGAAGAATGCGACGAACATCTTGAAGCTTTGAGAGCAGCTTTGGAGGCTTTTCCTTGGCTTTGATGGGTTCCTCGATGGCTTTGAGAGCTTTGATCGTTGAAGAGGTGGATTTAGTGCTCCATAACGCTTTTGGCGGCGTGTCCCTTTGAATTTTGGATCGAAGAGGGCCGAGTTTGGGCCGAGTTTGCGCCTTTTATGAAGAACGCGATGAACACCTCGAAGCTTTGAGAGAAACTTTGAAGACCTTCCCTTGGCTTTGACGAATTCCTCGACGTCTTTGAGAGCTTTGATCCTTCCTCCGGCTTGGACATACGACGAAGAACGTTAACTTCATCGATTCGTCAACCAATATTGGATCATTTGTCCAAATTAGTGACTATCGACGAAGAACGCTTCGAAGGACACGAAGAACATGAAGAACAATACAGAGAGAGTCTAGAGAATTACCTCTTTGCTTGAATCCTCGATAAAACTTCGGTCTCCCAAATGAATTGGCCATGACTCCTATTTATAGGGGATGGGTGGCCTTGGCTTCCTTTTCGGATGGTGCCACGTGTATGGAAAGATCTTATAATCTTTCATTTTCCATCAGATGCTGCTTTCCATTCTTGACGGATTTGATTGTGCACCTTCCTTTCTCGCCAAAATCTTCATATCATTGTCTTTTTTGGAAGATATTAATTTATATACTTCCTTTATTGACAAGATTAATTTATTTTGCTGTCAAATTTATTATGGCTCCATTTATGCACGTAATATTTGTACGATATCTTCCATTTTAAGCATATTTTTGCATTAATGGTTGATATTTATTGTACAAAAATTAACATATGTGCATAATTAAATACCATATACTTATTTTATTGGAATTTTATTTTCTTCCAAAATATATGATATCTAATTGATTTTAGACATATATTTTTAGTGTCTACAATAGCTATATTGGAGATTGACATCGTAATTATGTAATCTTTCAATTGGTGTAACAATGTAGATGAATAATACTTTAGGGAATAATTAAAATCAATTTTGAACAAATCCGCATAGCAATTTTGTTAAATTGAATTGGGTCTTTCTAATCTTTAATGTTGTCAAGTCAGTAAAACTATAGTTGTACTTAAAATTCTCACTCGATTAGAGAAATAGTAACGATCGTACTTTAGCTGTCGACAAAGTAAGGAAATATTGGTTGTTAACGCGTGTAGATCAACTATAACCAATTTATCCAACTAATCAATAAACTTGATTTTTAGTCGATGAACAAATTTTATATCTCAAACATAAAATTTATGTTTATTTTAGTTAATTGAGCGAATTTATTTTTCTCAAATTTAGTGTGAGAAATCAAACCCCTCATTATATATATACATATATATATATATAGCATAATTATAAATAACTGAATAGTAAATATTGTGACTGCTGCTCCCTGTGAAGACAACCTACTAACCAAAACTACTGTATTTTGTATATTTCTGACGTAGGAACTAACGCTTATTTTGTAGCTGTGCAAAAGACTTGCAGAATTTTTTGTCAATCGAGCAAATTCAGTTCGAGTACAAATACTGTATATTTTATATTTGTTCAGTTCAGTTCAGTTTTAGTTTTTGATATTTTTTTCGGTTTGGTTAACCGAACCGAATATATTATATAATTATATTATTATATCCTAAAATTTATATTAATAATTATATTCAATTTTCAATCCGAATATTTGCAAATATATTTATTTAATTGAAATTTTAATTATTTTGAATGTATTTTCTGTTAATTTCAAGTCGATTCAAATTATATGCCAATATTGCAATTATTTTTTTATTAATCGAAATTTCCAATTTGAATACAATTTGAAATTTCAAATATGTAGATTCACCGGGTGTGTAGATTCACTCAATTCTACATTATATAAATAAATGAATTTAAGCTGTCAAATAGAGCCCAAATACTAAACGGGCCGTTAAGCCCGTTAACAAATCAAATAATTCGGCTGTAAGTCCAATTAAATTGAGGCCCAAATAATTAATATATTTGACTAACACCACAGGGAGCAGGTGGTACCTGAAATGGACTCAGATTCTGCCGTCGCGGCGGAGCCGCCGCGGCTGTTCCCCGCCGGCGTAACTGATTGGGATAGGCTCCGCCGTCTTCCTCCAAATTCCGGCCACATTCCACCTCCGGGACATCCACGGCCAATGGTGTCTATAAAAGACGCTGTCGAAAAGAAACCCCCAATCGTTTTTCCTCCCGTCAACCACGAAAATCTCCTCGTCTCCACAGATCCGTCGCCAGTTTCGAACCTAATCCCACGTATTCACACCGATAATCATCGAATTCGTTTCACGGACTCGGATTCGGATTCCGAGACAACGAATTCACTGTCGACGGCGTTTTCGCCGTCGGATTCCAGTCCGGCGCCGCGCTCCCCTCTCTCCTTCGCTCCGCCGGAGTCCGAACAGGCTCGCCGGATCGGTTCGTGGACGGAGTTGTTGCATTCCACGCTGAGCGTCCTCGCGCGGTACTTATACAGCGGCCTGACTTCCTCGCGCGGAGTGTTGGTCACTTTCCGCTCCGCCGCCTTCACGGCGGTTCTGTTGGCGTTCATGTACTTCCAGCGGCGGCGGAGGTTGAGGACCGCGGAACGGAGCAGAATTCAGCTCATTAACATCATGCGCGACGGAGATGAGGTAATCTCCTCTCCGCGCACTCCAACTGTTTGTGAAAATGCTTCTCTGATTAAAATCCCCAAATCACCACTGCAAAATCTGTTTCATACCTAAAACTCACATCTCTCGTCCCTCCCTCGGATTCCTTTCGCAGAAAATGAATCAAGTCTTGGAACAAATATCGCAGATGAATCAGATGTTGCGGAAGCTTCATAGTTCTCAGCAGCAGCCATAGTTAGCCTCCAACTGCAGGTACAGTACAGATTAGCCATAACATATATTGATGTTCATAGTACAAATTAAGGTCACCATACCTCAATATTTTTAGGAAGATTGATGGTGTCAAAAACACTAGTTGTATTAAGAATAACAATGGCTGCTTGCCATTTTACTTTATTGATTGTTAGAATTTGCAGGGCTTATACTTTATTCCTACAAATTATACTATTGTGATTATCATTTGTAAACAAGATTCTCATTTCGCCTTTCGACCATATTCGTTGCTTGTAGAATATTTCACCGAATTTCTTGGGCTAGAAACTCTCGACTTGATCAGGTTAAGGTGTGCAAATTTCTTTGTTTTCTGGTAAATAATGTGTCTTTCTTTTTAACAGGGTTTTAAAGAACACGAAATATCTCATGTAAATTTCACGACGATGTTATTAAAACTTGTGTTCTCATAGCCTATTGAGAAAGCAAACTCAAGTCCACATCGGAAAAAAAATAAAGAAAAAGTAATTAGTTATAAGTTAACATATAACTTTATTTGTAATGCCTTTTGGTAAATTCAAAAGTAAAATCGAAATCGGACAATATCATACTGACGGAGAGTTCACTCGTCATAACATAACCGTGGTAATGTAATAATTCAAGTTAACTGCACACTAAAATCGGCTTTCCTTCTAATGCCTTACATACAGTTGCAATAATACAGTTTGCTCAAAGTAGAAGACAGCATTGAAAGCCGTAGGCGAAAATGATCTCCTGTCCTACCCGGTTTGCGCAATTCTAACCTTCGATTGTTACTACAGATAAAATTAAATAAATAAATCAAATAATGAAGTAAAATTCTAAACAAAAATCGAAGAAAGTCTATAATTTGAATTCCAACGTTCCAGAAAAGATCCGTTGGGCAAGAGCTACTCTCTGTACAAGGATGAACTCATCTCTTCGATCTTCTCCCTTCGACAGACGGTGATGAACTACATGCAATCATGTGATGACACAACGAGATCCGGCTTCTAAGTCGAGCATGTATTTGGCAACGACACAACTGAAAACATAGGATTCAGCAAAAAAAAGTAAATCCCAATCGAAACTAAAACTCATACCCGGTAACTTTAGCTGCTATATAACACTCTTTTGTGTTTATAACACCCTTTGTGATTTAATAAAAATGCATAAAAAAAATTTATTTTATTTGTTGCTTGAAACCTTAAAGTTTGCATCCAAAATAGTTGTAAATATTATAGTTTTTTAAAATTTAAATAACAATTTGATTTTTTAAAAAAAAAACTATAAATAAAATAAATGATTAATTTTTTTATTATTTTATTCAAAAATAGACTACTTAATATATTTATCTATTTTATCTGTATAAAATATTTAAGTTTGTAATTGCAACCAAACATCGTCTTTGTACGAAACTGAGTTTATTATACCAATTTTAATTTAATAGAAGGATTTTTAGCAATAAATAAAATATTTATGCATGTTTTCCGAAAGAACACAATGAATGGTATACAATTTACCCAAAGACGAAGGTACATAACATTTGCTATTGATGGTAAATATATCCTAATTTACGAAATTATTGGGTTTATTTTATTTTCATTTGAGTTTTGATTTAAATAGAAGGAATACGTTTCTACCAGAGTTGAGACATTTACCAGTGTAATGTTGCTAGCAGATTGCGCCGGAAGGCCTACCTAACTCTTCGATCTGCTGTTGCTCCGCTCCATCGAATGCCGGATATCAAACCGATCGACATTCGCCAAAGGATTATTCGATTCGTTCCGGATCCTCTTAACGTTCGGGCTCACCAACCCCCGGTGCCTAAACCCGTACAAGTTCAACACTTGGTTATCAGCAAAGTTAAACGCTCTCTCCATGCTCTTCAAGCAACGCTCGACAGGGTAATCCCCGTAAGCTCCACAAGGCTTGCACCCGACAAAATGTGTAACGAAAGGCCACCTCTCGTCCCCCAACCCGAGATGATACTTCTCGATCATCTCCTCGAAACGATCTACCAAACCCTCCCAAAACCCGTGCAGATGATACGAGTTCTCGACAAAAACTCGGTCCATCCACTTATCCTTCTGCAGAATCAGCAGATATATCAATGCCGATTGATCATCTGCCTCAAAAGCCGGACGCCCCTTCAGATTGGCTGTCAAGACCTTCCCGGCCTCCTCGCGAATCGGACCCCTCGGCCCCATCGGCACCCATGCATCCAACAGATCCAATGACCACTGGCAGTTTCGGATCAAGAAGCTGCCGGTGTTCAGCGCAACCCACAACTTCTGATCGAACAGCAAATCGCGGTGGCCATGGACGACCAGGTTGTGATCCTTGTACTTGAGAAGAGGCACCTCAAACGCCATGTCTGTAAAGATGGCGTCACTGTCCATCCACCATAGCCACTCTGCTTCAGGATGCCTCAACATCAAGCGACGAATCAATGGCAGCTTCATCCAGTGCCCTGACATCTCCTTATCCAGAATCGCCATGTTATACACAATCTCAATTCCATGAATCCTACAGTAATCTATCTTGTTCTTCAATCCTTTCAACAGATAGTGATCCCCAATTGCATTTTCGCACGGACCAGGTGGCGATCCAGTCACGAGCAAAATTCTAGGTCTTCCATTAAGGTAATTTGGAAACAGAGGATGTTTGCGAAGCCATACCTTGCGATCTTCGTCCCATCCTTTGATTTTAGGCCCTAGGGCAAACGTAGCGTTCAGGTCCAGGACCTCTTCCTCTCCATCTTCTGGATCGGATCGGATCTCCGCCAGGATCCGATTCGTTTCTTCGGTCAGATGCGGATTCGCACCTTCTTTGTCGTACATCACGAGGCTGCCGAGACCGATCGTGCCGCGGAGCACGAGAATGGTGATTACTCCGCAGAGAATCGTGATTTTGACGTTGTTGAAGGTCTTGTGTGTCTGCTTCCCCCGCGGATGAACCGCCGCAGCCGCTGCGCGGCGTGCGCTCCCGGTCGGCGCCGTCGTAGGGAGCCCCGCCACACTCCGCTTCTGTGCAGTGTACGGACCTTCCGAACCCATCGATTAGCTCAAAATAAACGAAATCACGACGATTTCAGAGATTTTAATTCCTCGCAGAAAATCACCATCGCGAACTTGCAAACATCCGCTCGGAACGATGTATATTCCTCTCGATTCGATCGGATTTCGCTGAAAATGGAAACGATCGAAACCAGCACCACCGTCGGCGGTCCGTAAAAGCACGTTTGATGACGACGTCGTTTTGGTGCTTTTTCCTGCTTATGTTATGTATGCATGCACGTAGATTTAGTGGATGTTTTAAAAATTATTATTATAATTATTTAAATTTCATTTTATTTTATTTTATTTTCAAATATATGCGTATTAGTTAGTTAGGTATTTTGGAAAAAATTGTATAAATAATTAAATTTATGCCGCAAATGAAAACTCTCAGTCGTGACGGGAAAGGCAAAACAGCATGAAGACGACGATGACTGGACAGAAATATCATATCGTTGAGGGTATTTATGTCATTTCATGTCTGATGTGTAGGCACAACATCGAGATCGTATTTCGTTGGGGTGGTTGTTTACAAATCTGCTAATTCCATCACCGGGGATCGTTCTACGTCTACCGGACATTCTCTCTGCGGTTTTCGTTGCAATTTTCTGGATTAACCTTGTTTCTCCTGACTTGATTCGATCGATTTTGAGGTACGTAGGCGGGGACCGTTGATCGTTTCGGATTTGCATTCGTTGTATTCTGTTTCTAATTTGAATGTTCGTTTGATTTTAACATACTGATTGTTTGCGACGCTGAGATTGGATTAATTTGATTTTTTTTTTTTTTGGGGGGATTAGTTAGGTTATTGATCATTTGATTTGTAGTTTGAAGCCGAAGAATTTGAGGAATTCGGGAGAAAGATGAGCCATGTGTTCGAAGCTTACGAACGGCAGTACTGTGAGCTGTCGGCTAATTTATCGAAAACGATTACTTCAGCTAGCATCCTTGATGGAGGTGAGACAGAACAGCTATTCGCCTTTTTACATTGATTCGGTTATTCAGTTATGTTCTTTCATTACTAATATCTACAGATTTCAAATGTGTTACGTATGTGGTTCGATTTTAGTTGAACATAGTTTGGTTTCATTACCATTTTATCCTCTGGGACTTGAAATAACAGTTGTAGAAAATATTTGAGTGCTGTTTATTTTTCCTTCGATCATTCTCTGTTTGGCATCTGGAATTATATTTGAGTGCTGTATATTTTTCCTTCAATCATTCTCTGTTTGGCATCTGGAATTACTTTTCTAGAAACTGGTTTTGCTGTTAGATTGTAATGAATATGTAAATTGTGGTTGCAAAGGAGTTGAGAGAATTATACTATGAGATTTCTAATTTCAAGCTATGTATCATCCGCGGTGAAGATACATGATATTTCAAGTACACTTCAGAATCAAGAAACCACAAATATGGTAACCTAAAAATGTGACAGTAACTACTATAAGTTCATGATATGTATGATTAGGGGATTCTGTTCCTTCCATATCATTCGTCCCTGGTATCTATTTGTTTGCATGTTTATGTAGGATGCTTTAAATTTTGAATTAATGATATGACAAGGGCAATGGGTTTGTTTGATTTTGGTGTAATGTTTAATTTAAATAGTATTTTAAAGTGATATTTATTTAGAAAAAAAAAAAAGAAATATATTTTTATTACAAATCATGTAGGTTGATTAGTGGTGATTTAGGTTTGAAATCCAAACCAAACACACCCCAAATGTTTTTCCTTTGTCACTTAAGATCAATTGTTATGGCAATCACGTAACTGCTAAAGAATAGTTGGTAAGTAGAAGTATAGGAGGAAGAATTTGTTAATTAACTACTTTTGAATTGGTTCGGTATATACCATTCTCAATAAAAATATACTATTCTTTTTATAAAATATCACATATCTACAAAATAGTTGGTAAGAAGTATAGGAAGGAGGGATTTGTTAATTAAGTATTGTATCTGTTGGATAATTGAGGAGTTATGTTTTTAGTTATTTAAGGAGAAATAATAGATATATAAAAAATCTTCTCCATTTCTCTTATCCATTTCTGGTTTTGCCAACATTGCTATAGCTTGAAATGGGCTTCTTCCCATGGTCAACTGATTTAAATTTCATGTAGTAATGTTTTTATAGGAACCATATAAGATTCTATATCGAGCATACAGGTTTCTTGGAAGATCTGAAAGTCGGATCAATTTAGCATGCTTGGTCTTTGTAGTATTCATCAAAGACTAGAGAAAAAAGAGCCAGATAATGAATAAATTTCTAGAGGCTTTCTTGGTAAAATGCATTTATCAAGAATGAACGAATAAAAGAAAGAGAATGCACCTTTGAAGAGTGCTCACCCCTTCAAAGGATGTGCTTTGTGCCGCAGCAAGTCCTTTTACAGCCATTGGTACTCTTCAAATATATGCCTTAGAACATGATAGATTGTCCAAGAAAAATTAAATCGGAATTGCAATGCTGGTTAGTTAGTTTTCTGGCATTCTCTCATTTGGATGTTGAATACCTTTAGTTTTATGTAAATGCAAGTTCACTATGTGGTTCATTACGCCGCACACGATGCAGAAGTTTATGTTTCTAATGGTTGCTTCCTCACTCAACTCTTTATTTGGTATTTGGTGGTGGTTATTGCAGAACAAAAGAAACAGAAGATATCTGAAGTAAAAGAAGGGTTGGATGATGCCGAGAGCTTGGTAATCTTTATCACATACTCATATTACCAGAAATTGTCGACAGTTTTTGTGCATATTAAAGCTTAAAGCTTTGCTCATGTTCTAGATTCGTAAAATGGATCTTGAAGCTAGAAGCTTGCCCCCAAGCGAGAAGGCTACACTTCTAGCCAAGTTGAGAGAATATAAAAATGATTTGAACAATTTGAAAGCGGAAGTAAAAAGAATCATGTCGGCTAACTCAGATCCATCTTCACGGGATAGGTTAATGGAGTCTGGGATGATCAATACAACAATGGTACTCCCTTGTTTGTTTCATTTTCTTGCCTACTAATGTGATTGTCTTTTATTTAGCAAGAAATTATGTTACGAAACAATATACGATGATTTACCTGCCTTTCCATTTCCAGAAACAGAATATATGTTAATCCATGAAACAGTTTTCCAATCAAGTCTGGCTAAAATTTTATGTTTCAGGCATCTGGCAATCAAAGAGAAAGATTGATGGTGTCTACGGAGAGACTAAATCAGAGCAGCGATAGGATCAGGGAAAGTCGGAAGACAATGCTTGAAACTGAAGAGCTTGGAGTCTCGATTCTTCAAGATTTGCATCAGCAGCGCCAGTCTCTTCTTCATGCACACTCTACCGTAATTTCACACACATATATATATATATATATATCTCCTCGAATTTTCTAATACAATATGCTTTTCTACTTTCTACAAATAATCAGCATCATTTTTATTCTTCCATGAATGCAAAACATAATTATGGATGCTAATTAATTTTCCTCACTTGCAGCTTCACGGGGTTGATGACAACATAAGTCGAAGCAAAAGAATCTTGACCAATATGACGAGGAGGATGAACAGGAACAAGTGGATCATCGGCTCCATCATCGCAGCCTTGGTGGTCGCCATTATTCTGGTTCTCTACTTCAAGCTGACTCACTAATTAAGGCTTTGCCTAGCTCTGGTACATTCAAGTTCCCTCCTGCTTTTTTCTGCTGAATTAGATACTTACTGCTTTTAACTTGGCTTCTTTATGATGATTTGATTTCCCTCTGAAACAGAACTACCGCATGCTGCATGTCCATCATAGTTTCTTGAATTTGAGCTTTCCATGTATCATTCATTTTGATTATTTGCAGACATAGGTAGCCTGGGAATCCTTCAATGTTTATTGCCTTATTAGTAATGGCCTCTTTAGAACTACATTTTACATAGAGAGAATGTAGTTGGTTTCTAACAGCTTGTTCTGGGCATTGAAGCCACACATTCATAGTCTAATCCTTTGAAACATATTCAAGAATCCAAGTAAAGGAAAGTTTCGGTGATAATCACTGGAAAATAATACAACTATGTTGCCCGTTAGCCCAACGAACTCTAGCTACTAGGCAATGGCATTCACACTACTTGAGCCAACGACAGCGATTAAAATCAGTGAACATAACAAGAAGTCCCTCCCTCTTATAAGTAAGCCTCAGTAGTCATCCTTCATAGGCACGTAGAAGCATCATCCATAGACGAAATGTTGGACTGATCTTCCTCTTCATAGTCTTCCTCTTCTTCATCCTCTTCAGCCGATGCCGGCTGCCCGTTAAGATCCACATTAACACCATTCACTTTCCTCATGAACTGGCCCCTCAGGCGGGGCCTACGCTCTGCGAGCTTTTTCCGGTTGACATACCTAATCTTCTTGTCGAAGCATCTTTCCTTCCGCTTCTGTCTGAACTTAATCAGGGCTGCCTCCCTCCGATCAACTTTGCTCGGGCAATTCCCCTCGTTGGAGGAATTGCCAAGCGAAGATGGCCATGGGTGTGGTGGCGGCACAGGCATTTGACCTGGTTGCAGGCATATACCGTACGGGTAGTATGGATAGGACGCCATGGCTGGGATGTGTGGGGGACACTGCGGGATATGATGATTGTGATACATGGATGCCGGAGGCATTGTTACCTGATTCATCACCGAGGGCATGTAGAAAGGATAGGGATAGTGGTTCGGGGCATTGCTGGGAGATTCATGTAAATGTGGATGAGAGAATTGCTCGCCGGAGAGGTGTTGCTGGGAGATCTCCGCTGGATTTGATATTTGAGGAGTCGAGGACCTCTCCATGGAGAAGGAAGAATCAGGGACAGTGTTGTTACTTGGATGTTCATCAGGCTGACTCTGGCTTTCCCGGAAGTCTTGATCCTTTTTCCCCCGTATGTCCATATGTTCTTCGACTGTTTTCTCAAGCCGAGGTGCATTTTCGTGCATGCTCGATTTGATGTATGTGAAGAATGCGGAAGATTCACCAATTCTGAGTCCGCTTTTCTTTGGGAACGGCGAACCATGATCTGGAAAGATGTCAAAAGCACCGGAAAATGTCACGTCTGGATGCTTAAAACTAACTTAAATAACAAAACCAAGAGACATACATAAACAAGAACTTTCCTATTAGTTGAAACTATAACCTATAGAACTGCAGTGAAACCCTTGGTCATTCAAATGAAATGATCATTACTACCGGTATAGTCTTCTTATATAAGCTTGACTTGATCGAATATTTTGTGCAAATTCTAAAGTGATCGATCCCTTCAAAATCAAAACTTGATCGATCACACTACACATAAATCTAAGGAATGAAAATGTGGTCACCAAAAGAGTTGTTTTTCATCCATGAGTATGCATTTAGATATAAGCATAGACATGATTGACTGGAGCCTAAAGAGGTTTTGATAGTTGAAGCATATTACCAAATGAAGAAATCGGTTAAAAATATAACGTGCAATTAAAAATCACCTCTTATGCGCAAATCAGGCTGACATTCTGAAGGAGTCTCAGATGCAGTCTCTACAGAAACAGCAGCTGTGGCAACATTGTTCTGGCATGCAAGATGCTGGGACAGCACAAATGTACATGAAAATCGTCGATAATTACTGTTAAGTTTAAGCTACGTATGTATGTATCTTCTTAGGTTTGACAGGAAAGGATAGAATTTCCTAATGCTAGAGTTTCGAACAATCAAAACATAGGGAAAATATTGGAAAATATAGTAAGAATAGCCGACACCCATCAATGAGGTAATCTATCCATCGGAGGAAATTCAAGAAACTTTTCATGACACACCGGTCCTCTAATGTGTAAATTTACCTCATTCTCCGGATGGGTCGAAGCGCATGCATCCGGGTTGGTACTTTTCCTAGACTTGTCATCGGTGTCATCCGAAAATAAAGTAGTGCTGTTGGTATTAGCGTCGCTGGGATCTGATACAAGTGGGTCAAAATCATAATTTACAATGTTCTTCTCTGCTAATCCAAGCTGTCAACGTAAAACCGGCAGACATACAATGTTAAACAAATATTGAAGTAAGGAAAACAGATGCACGATCAAGCATATAATCGACAACAACGCATAGCTAGATATTTTCGACTACTACTGCCAGACAATGTACAGAAGAATTTATACTCCTCACAGTAACTAGAATAGCAAGAAACATCTGTGCAGCTTTCGAGAGGAAAATGAGAAATAAACATTGTTGAAGAAACTACATAAGAAATGAAAGAAAGCTTGCCATTCGTCGTCTTCTCCACATGTGTGTCCACAAGTTCAACAGCTCATTTGTCCGTAACGGTTTCACAAGATAGTCAGCTGCCCCGAATTTCAGACACTTGACAACAATAGAAACCTCATCTTGTGCCGACATCACTAGAAAAGGAAACAAAAGAACCAAATAAATCTTTTTAAATGATACCACGGACAATAAACTCCTTCTCTCCGAGAACTAGAGCATCGTAAAGAATATATTGGATATAGAAAGTAACTCTTACTGATCACAGGAATACGCCGAAGCTCTTTGTCCCTCATGATATATTTTAACATCTTCAAACCTTTCGACATGGGCAGGTCGACTTCAGAAAGAATTATATCTATATCAGGGCCCTCTGCATTCAGTGCATCAATCACCTGTCGCGGCGACTTCACAGAAGTAACTGGAAAGCAAGAAATTCCGAAAATCAGAATAAAGATTACTACAATACTTAAATGTCTTTATAATCGAAAGGGCCCATTCTACATCAAGTTTTCAAATAGTGACTGTTAGTCGAAATGGGCAATTACTTTGAAGGAATATATATTATATTTGAATAAGGGGCTAAATTACATATTGATATCGAAACAATACACTTTCTTTACTAAGAAATAACTTCTAGAGGCATGGACCCTTCTTCCCAACAGATATAGTTCGATAAACAAGATTTCTGTGAGATAGACTCCTAATAAAATAGTACCCACAATATTTGCAACACATTCCTCATCGATTTCTAAATAACTGGCGAGAACTAAAATATCCGTCGATTAAGTTAATAAAGAAAAAACGAAAACCAATAAAGCAACTTTTACAATATAAAAGAGCATCCCATTTTTTCCCGATTATCAATCAAGTGGGAATCAAACAAAAAACCACACTAGAAAACAAACTAAGGTGATCGCCAACTATATAACTCGTGCCAACCAGCCGAATAACTCATGACAAACACAAGTCATGTCAGTTGGCAGCTACCTAATAGCCAACAACAACCACCATTTTCGGGTGTTAACCAACAAACTCAAATTTCTGCTACCAGAAGAACCAATTTTCACTTTCCATAGATTCGATGACATCACCGTGGTGATTAGAGTTTCACTAAAGAAAACACACACAGAACATAACTCATTCACACAAACAACGAAACAGAACATCGCCGCCGCGATCAATCTTGTTAATTTAACAAAGGAAATGGAGCTTATCCAACTATACATAGAATTCGACGTTTACACCAATCTCAGCTCAAAGAATGAATGCAATATCCTCATCAAAAACACCTAATTCATAACAAGAACAGGACACCTACAATCCCGCAAGACTATTCGATTCAATCGAAAAAAAAGATGACCAGATTTGTACAAGTGAAAAATATAATATATGATCCCAAGCAACAAAACAGTCAATCACTGCAAAAAAAAAAAACAATAACATACTCAATCCGATCCAAACATGTTCCAAAAATTCAAATCAGCATCAAATTTTTCTACCTTGATAAGAACATTTACACAAAAGTGTAAAAACCTCAGCAGAACTCTTCTCATCGTTGTCGCACAAAAGAATCCTCACTTTACTGCGATCAACGAATCCATCTCCACTCTTCTCCATCCCCAGCCCTAATTTCAACCCCCAATTTTTCACAAACTACGAATCCAATTCAGAAACCGCCACCAGATGATAATCCATGGCTTCAAATCACGCAAAATTCGCCCAATCAATCCCTAGAGATCTCCATGAACATCACCGCAAAAATCCCCAGCTCGAAAGCCCCGAAAAATAATTTGGTATCGAGCGATTCGGAAAGCCAAAAAACAAAAGGCGACAAGGGGCTTAACAACTCTACCCAAAAACAGTCAATTCTCACATGAGAGTTGGGCAGAAGAGCGAAAAAATTATAATAATTAGCATTTGCCTCCCCACACTCAACCCGACGGCACGTTTCCACCTAGGTGCACGTTAGCACGAACCCTTCTGACCGCAGTCCACCATAGCCAATCTACAAAGACCACATAAAAATACAGATAAAGCCACCAATTGCAGTATGAAATTAACGAGGTTGACGATGAAGGGATCGAATTTCCAGGAACGCAGCGTTGGTTTGTCGTCAAAAGAGTGGAGTGAAAATTGCATTTATCTATAAATAGTAACCCACGGAAAAGATATTTTAATGGCGCTTTTTTGTAATGGGATTGGTAGTGGTGAAGGCTAATATGCGCCTTGTCACCTGGCGCGAAGCCGGCCGTCGGATCTGGGGAATGAATGGTAGAGATGGAGTGGAGGATGGGTGACGTGGAGGGAGAGAAAGAGAAAAAGAACTGGCGGTGGTACAGACAGCCGTCGGCCACGTCAGCTGTAAGATCTATTGGAAGGAGCGTGTTTCTTATCATTTAGAGCATGAGTGGAAGTTTTTTTCAGGCTCATTAATAATTTAATTAAAGTTTTTTTATCAAAATAAATGCTCCCTCTCGCTTGTTGAAAGGGTGATATTTACCTTTTCAATGTAAATTTTTTAGTATTAGTATTATATTGAATTATAATAAAAAATAAAAATATCTATTAATATGGTGTAATATAAAAATAATGAAATTTGTGTAATATATTATAAATTGAAAGAGATTATGTTAAGTAGTAAGTATAATTACTAAATTAGAAAATAGCAACTTTGGTTTGAGAGAAAAAAAATGAAAAATAATAAACATTCAATGGGACAGAGGGAGTACAATAAATTAAATATAGAAGTTAAAATATAATGGCAGAAGGGATCAGACTTGGTGTAAGAGAAACCCTATTTAAATTTGATTTCGGTTTTTAAGGTTGAAAAATAATTTTTTTTTAGAAGCACATGGAAGATAAAGCTGTAAAACAAACTGACAGTGCGCGAGCTCGGCTCAGTTCGGTTCGTTTGAGCTCACTAAGAGCTCGTTCGTTAAGCTAAACGAGTCAAACACGAATATAAATTTTGGCTCGTTATGTTCACAAACGAGCTCGAGCTTGTTCGCGAACGTTCGATAATATTTATTAAAAAATTAAATTAATAATTTTATATTTAATAAGTAAATATATCTTTATAAATATTATATTTCATTCTATTATTTATTCAAATTTATTAATAAAAATTATAATAATTATTTACTAAATTTAAATTTTTCTAAAAAATTAAATAAATAAAATAAATTTCTCTTAACAAGCTGAATACCAACAAAAAAATTGTTAAACGAGTCGAGCTCAAACAAAAATTTCAGCTCGTATATCTTAATGAACGAACACGAGCCGAACTCGAGTCCTTAACGAGTCAAGCTCAAACATGACAAGCTCGGCTCTATTAGGCTCGTTTACAACTCTAATGAAGGTTACTTTCTGAATAAGCATAAGTATTTTTCAGCTAAAATTATTATTTTATCCTTCTTATTAATAATAATAATAATAATAATAATAATAATAATAATAATAATAATAAATACAATACTATAATATATTATAAAAATAATTAATTTATAAATTATATTTTTAAGAATTAAAAAAATATAATTATATTAGTATATTATATTTGGATTAAAAATTATAATTATAATTCAGATACCAAATTTAAGTAGAAATATATAATTTTCTAATTACATTAAAAATATTAAATGTAACTTATAAAATTTTAAAATTATTTAAAATTTAAGAATAATTTAATATTTCTATTATATAATTTTACTTTTAATTTTATATATTTTCTTTAAATTACAATTTTAAAATATAAATAATTAATTTCTAAAAATATAGTTTCTATATTTTTATTTAAAATATTTAAATATAATTGAAAAAAGTAAAAATATACATACAATGTTTATAGGAAAATATAATTATATTAACAGCATGCTTTTTTTGAGTAATTTTAATCGTTTAAAAGTTGTCTCAATTTTATTGCATCCAAACAATTTTTTTTTTTTATGAAAAACTGTTTTTATAATAATTCATCCAAATAAAAAATCGAATTGTTTCTACTTTTGACTTCACTTCTGCTTCTGTTTTTTACTTCTACTTATTTTTTAAACCAATCCAAATGGGCCTTATTCCAAAAGAGCATATGCAATGGTATTAGCGGTAAATGGCTTTTATTATCTACATGTCGTCTATGTTAGACTTTCCCAAATGGTTTAAACCGCCGATTACGATTACAAACCGCCGATTATGGTTTATCAAAATATCAAATCAAAACCGTACATTCCGAATCACAATTTCGATTGCGGTTTGACGATTTCGATTACGGTTTATAAACCGTCGATTTCGGTTTAAAAACCGGCGATTACGATTTGAACCATCGGTTTATATATATTTATTTTTAATATTTTTCTTTTTTATTTTCTATTTTTCTAAAATTGAATTTTATTTAAAAATAATTAAATTTGATATTAATTTTATTCAGATATATTTATTATTTATTTATTACGTAAAAATCATATATATAAATAATTTATTAGATGGTTACTTTATTAAAATAATTAAAAAAAAATTTAATAAATAATTAAATTATATTTAAAATAGAAAAGCAAATAAAAATATTAATATAATAAAAATTATAAAATTTAAGATAAAATAAATATATGAAATTTTAATTATAAATATAATATTATTACTATAAAATATACTCAATTTACCCAAATCAATACATTTACAAATTACACATACACATTCACTTTTTTTTTTTATAATAACGTGGGAATCCGCAGTCGCTACCCGAAAGTGCGCACTGAGTGAACCTCTGGCCGAACTTAAATCACACTAAGCGAACCATGTGTGGCAGGTGATCTGAGGCATCGTGGGTTTAAACCCATGACCTCACGATTACAAATCCAACCCCTACACCGCTAGGTCATCTCTTTTTTCGCTGCCTGTCTGTGCCGCCCTGCCCTGGTCAGAAATTTAGAAAAAAAAAAAAAAAAATCAAACTGCCGGTTTGCAGTTTGGAAAAATCACAAACCAAAACCAAATCCTCGAGATGATGATTTTGATTTGAACCGTAGCTATCGGTTCGAAAACCGGTAAACCGACGGTTCGAAACCGAATGGGCAAGTCTAGTCTACGTGTCATTTGACACAAAGTAAATAAGATGGTGTAATACAAATATCTACACAATGATAATTAAAATATGAGTGGAATAGATCAAACTTGAATAGAGCTTTCTTCTGCACCAAATTGGATCCGCTCTGTCAATATATTTTAATTTCTATATTTAAAAACTTTCACTAATGTATTGTGCTTTTATTTTGATAAAAAAAAGTTTCAGTATATTATTAATGGACCGGAAAAAACTTTCACTACATAATATTCTACTAATTATTGTGTGAATATTGTTCGGCTAGTGTGACTTGTCTGTCGGACATAGTTTGCAGGGTATTAAACTCGGTCGATAATTTATTCAGTGTGCTTTTTCGAATAGCAACAGCAAGTTCCCACGTTAAAAAAATAATAATAATAATAATAATAATAATAATAAATAAATAATAAAAATAAAAATCTAGATAATAGAAGCCAATTTAGTGCTAATATTACAACACATTCCAAATCTATAGGTGTGTTTCTTTTGAATGTTACGGATAGTTTGGACCAATACTTTTGAGAGCGTATATATATTGGTTTAGATATTGATAGTTTTCTCTAGTATTTAACGGATTTTTTTTTTTTTTTTAATTAAGATCAACAAATAAAGAAATACTCCATCATTTAATTTTACACTTGTTTAGCTGTGCACGAATTTTAATGTGGAAATATATTTTTTGGATTTCTTTGTATTTTTCAGTAAAGAAGTATTAAATATTGGTAAAAGTAAATACAATACTTAATTTTTTAATTATGTTAAAATATATTTAAGATTTTATATATTCAAACAAAAAGAAAAAGAAAAAGAAAATTTATTGTTCCACAGCAGTAACAAAAATTAGACTTAATTAATTTATTTTTTTAACAACATACAAACTTATATTAATGCAAAAAGATTTACTCCAAAATATTGTAAAATGAAGAGCCAAAAAACAATCTAAAATACACTAGAAACCGCCAAAAAATAAATTTTCCTCCAAAAATCATCTAATTCATTTCCCAAACATATAGATTAATGTCAATAAATTTCCCCCAAAATACAACAAAATTAAGAGTCAAAATCAGTCTTTAAATACCTAATATTTTCACATTAAATTAACTTTTTGAAATCAATCATTCATAAAGTTTTTCTACTAAAAATCAGCTATGTCCCACAGGAAGTTATGAAACATGAAAAGAGAAAGGATTCAAACCATGTAAGTTAAAGTTCTCTTTGAATACTTAACAAAAAAATTTTGTTAGCGCAAAGGCCAAAAGTCACCTACAACAGTTTTTCAACTGTGGGCAACAGATGAGATTGCATCCTAATTAACCAACAAATCCCTCAGACTTGATGGACTTAAACATCACAGCGTACGATATTTTCAAGCATAAGACAAAAGCTTCATTTATTTTCAAGAGATTGCTGGAAACATACCAACAAATGCAAAGAAAAGTCCTCTCCCAAAATGATTGGATCATTGGGCAGTACATAGGGATATAAATTAATTAAACATACCCCACATTAGTAAGTAGAATTATCGCACTAAGCACCCAAATCAAGTACATTTTCACAATGGGATCCCTCGGCTCTGGGTGTCTTGGCCCTCTGAAAGGGCCCCAAATTCTCGAGAAATTATCAGAATATGGAGGACAATCAAGCAAAGGAGCAGAAACAACAACTTCATGATTAGTAATGGATAAATGAATTATGCCAACACAAGGAGTATCAATATTGTTGTGAACCATATTTTCTAAAGTTTCCATCACTACTTCATCCTAATCAATCGAATCCACTAGAGAGAAGTCAAATCCATAGCCCTTAAACACTGCCAACAAAAATCACAAGAAATAGAAATGGAAAGGTTTAATTGGTATTGTTATTTCTTAAGGGAAGCAAAAATAAGCTCAAATAAAAATATTAGGGCACAAGAACAAACCGGTTTGTGGTGAAGGGTGAGAGTCGAAGCCCCTAGTAAAAAACAACAACAAATCCAACCAACCCACTGCTAGCTTGGCCTTCTCCATCATCATTTCACCGTTTCGGTGTCGACAAGGGTTGAGTTG